CTTTCAAGAATAACCATTCAGAAAACAGTACTCAAAGACTTAACGCTGCAGGGCAAGGGGACAAGGAGAAGGAAGGTGGTTCATATTGGTTGCTATTCCTCTTGTAATCAGCAGATTACCTGAAAGTTCAGGTGGGAGATCAACCACGTGTCCCTGCAAGAGGTGACCAGAACTTATTCATTGTAAAGGAGCAGACAAAAAGCTATTTAAGAGCACTAAGCTGTAATCAAACACTACCTTACCTTTTAGGTTCCTCCTGCTCTGGTGATCTTTCTTGTTGTGCACTAGCCAGCAGAAGCAACTCCCCTGCTCACGGTATGTTCAGAGGTGCCCACAGGGCTGGCTCGGGCCTGCTCCGGCACCAGGGGCATCAGTTTGCAGCACATCAAGCAGTGGAGGGCTTGGATACTTTTGCTGAATCAAAGGAAGAAATGAAAAGTCAAACAGAGCCATGTCTACTGATGTCCCTGACAAATTATCTTCAGAAAGTTGGCAGTGACTGGAAGAAGAAAATTAATAAATCAATGATGGTAAGTTTCAATTTAATGGGAGAAAATAGTCCAAATGTTTCAAAAGCCCATTCCCATTTAACCAAAACAAAGATAAAAAGATGAGAGATCAGAGTTCCTAGTTCTCCCCTATGCAAAGCACTGCCCCGTCACCCGCAACTCCAGTGGAGATTGTGTTGTGCGATGCTGCAGCTTGCTCCCTTCCCAGGATTTCTATGAGAAAGTGCTCGGATTAACTTGTGCTCCTGTCTGACCTGAAGGCTTTTACAGTCCCCCCAGCTCAGAGTTACTCTGGTTTCCTCCTCTTGCAGGCAGCACCGCCCAGAATTGCCTTCCCCAGCCAAACTCCTTCTCGTGCAGCGACCGCCGGCGCTTCCACCTCTGCCTCGGTGGCTACCGCCACTAACCCACTACTTGAAGCTCTCCCTGCACCAGGGCGTCTGCGGCTCCATTACTGCCACTGTCACCGGCAGCACAGAGAGATGCGGGAAGGTTCCTTAGAGGATTCGGTGTCGCAAGGAATCGTCCTTGTTCAAATCACGGTTACCCTATTGCTCTCAGGTCAGGTTATTGACACACGTGTTCTCACACTTGCTTTAGCAACTGCAGCTACGGGACAGGAATTTGCTTTGGTGTTTTTTCCGCCGACCAAACTATTAAATTTGTGGAATGGTATTTGTGATGAATAAAAATGAATTCACGAGAGGAACCAGAAACTGTCAGTCACTAGCACATGGTAAGCTGCGCTAGTAAAAGAGTTGTACTAAATACTCATTTTGCACCATGAAATGTGACTTAAGACCTCAGTTCAACTCCATGGGGAGGAAGGAGGGCTAAGTGAAAATATTTGGTTTATATTTTCATCCACCTTAAGAAAAAAATCTCTATTTTCAAAGTGCAATGAAAATAAACTCACTACTTCTGCAGTGGGTGAAACAGCATTTGTTATTACAAAGGGTTATGAAGCCGGTCTCGGTTGGTTTATGCTGCTATCAGTGATCACTTAAATCATAATGTTTAAATACGGGCTCAAGACCAATTTCTTTTCTTTCCCAGTACAAAGTTTTCACTCTCATCTTGTGTTTCCTGCCACTCTTTGCAAGTTTCTTTCCTAAAAATATCCAAAGCCACCGATTCATTCAATACTCAACAGTTATTGGTTTCGGTTTTATTTTGATTTGAGGCATGGGAACCTTTCTGGCCTGTCAGTAAATGTACCTGGAAACGAGCCGATCGCTTAGCAGACAGTGTTGTCTTCGTGCCAGAGCCACGGAAAGCTCCGCGCTGACGTCCCACGACGTTGCCTGCACCGTATCCCCTGCAAGCACCTCAGGAAACGTGGCCCCATATTCACATTGTTCTCAACCCTGTTCCCAGCTCTAAACAAGCAACGAGAATTTCTCAACTCGTGTCACGGTGAAGTGCGTTACACCTATAGCCAAAGGAAACGGTGCTCCGAGCGCGGCACCAGCGGCCTCGTCTGCAAGATGTCACGGGACATCGAAGGGCAAGAAACAGGACATCCCCACCCTCCTCATCCCTTTCCAAGTGCTGCAGGCAAAGTAATAAATTCACACTTTAAAACTACCTAAAAACTAGATTTTATTAGTTGGCCAAGAAAGCCCAAAGAAGTTACACTCGTGTCTTTGGAACCTGAAAAATCACTATTTATCAATAATAATAAATTCTTGAGGTTTCACTATCTTCCTTCCTTGCCCAGAAGGGAGGAAGAAAGCTTCTTAATTGATAAAGCTTCGTTAATTTCCCTCTTCTGCTACCCAAGGAATTTTGGTGCCTTTACACAGCATTTTACACGGCATAACTCAGGGTTAACATTCGTTCCTTCTTCCTTTTAAAGCCACTTCTGCCACGGCTTCCTCCTAAATATGTTTTTCGCTTTAGAAGCATTAAAAAAATCCCTTGTACCAAGTCTTCCAGCTGAAGGAATGCTTATCGTGTTTTCATTCTTTTTCTAGTTAAGGCTCTAAAAATTAACAGCGCATTCATTAGCAAGTATTTTTTAACACCCTTTTATCACTGAGTTCTCAATAGTGAAGAGTAGCCGAATGCTTTTGGAGGGGAGGGGAGCATTCTGCAACAGACCTAGAGAATCGCAAACGCTATCAGTGGCTTCCCAGAGCCCCTTCCTCGTGGCTCCAGCCACACAACAACGCTGTTTATGGTGTTTCCTGATTTCTTCCTTCCAAGTAACAGCAAAACAGTCACCCAGGCGCCTGTTCTTTACAAGCAGAAACCCTATACAGTCATTCACATCTGTGTTCTTCCTTCAGCTGCTTCTTCAAACTGTCGGGACAAGAGCTGTGTAAAGTTATTGCTCCTGATCACATTTAAAGCCTACTTGCAGATCAGCAGAGAACACAAAGATGGTTTTCTGGAAGGAAAGTCATTGCTCTACATGCTTGTTTTTTTTTGAGTCTTAATATAAATTTTAGCCGTACAGAAAAATAAAAACAACCCTCCAATACCGAAGACTGTCCCACAAACACAATATTGAATCTGTGGCTCTTCTGTTTAGAATTGAAGAGGGGGGAGCAGCAGAAGGCAAGAAAAGTTTTTGCTCCGGCTGCATAAGGAAGTTGGCTGTTTCCCTCCGTAACTCGGGTTCCAGCAACGCAAACCCAAGGTGAGCAGCGTCCCCCCTTCCCCACCAGACGCCGGGAGGAAGAGGCTTCATCTCCCGTCGGGCCCTCGGCTCCCCCTGCCCGCGGGCCTCCTCATCCTCTCCAGCGTGTAGCACTCGACCCTCTCGCCGCTCCACACCGTTCTGGTGCTTATGAGGCGAAATCCGTCTCCGAGTAAAGTGTCAACCAGCAGGCCCAGCACATTAGTGCCATTAATCAGCTTCCTAGTATCGGGCTTTATGGAGACATATCTAAAACAAGGAAAAAAAAAGTTGTTAGAATACAGTTTAATACTTTTTTTTTTTTTCTAAGACTTTTTAGACAAACCAAGCCACCAGATAGTGCACATCAGCACAGCTGCACAGATCTGGGGCAACCAAGACTCTGGATTCTTTTCTCGAGGATGATTTAACTCGTTCCCTCATTTAAGAGCAGTATTCTTCAGCTCGCCCATTTACCCGTTACAGAACACGCACTTCTCCTCCAGCCCCACGACAGGGCTCATTTCCTTAAGGAATTCTATCACATTTCACTTCATGGTGGGGAGCTGACCAGCACGTCCCGCAACGTCGCAAGAGGTTTTCAAGCCAGGGACAGAGGGGCAAGGGCACCAGGTTCAGCTCAGAAGCGTCACACTCCATCACACAGGATCTCTCTCTATAAACGGGAACTTTTATTGCAAAGTTGCCTTGTACAACAGGTCTTATGGTAACAAGTAGGAAAATCATTTTCACATCACCTCAAATGGTTATACTTGATATAAAGTACAGATTTAAGGGTCTATCCAGACACTTCAAGGACCAGAAGCCATGTAAAAATACTATTACAAAATACATAAGCTGACAGGGGTGAAACGGTTCCACAGTTCACAGGAAGGTACACCAAATATTCATGAAAAGCACAAAAAGGGCAGAGAGTCCATGGCACCCACAAAGCCCAGCTAAATAGAAATTCAGTAGGCAGCGTAATCCAAGCTGACTTGTTTCATTAATCAAGCTGTATTTTTCCATTGATCTGCAAAGCAGAAATTTTACCAAGTCTGAAGAGAGAAAGGTAAGAACTAGGAATACTTCTTGCAGTATTTAAGTTGTCATAACCTACTAAAGCAACTGTTAGCCCAATAAAGTTAAAAATAAATTCTAAAATTAAGGTTTGCTACATAAATATAGGCTGCTTTATAAACAAAATACTTCAGTGCTCCCTCTACTTACTTAGCATAAGAAAGTTCAAAGGAGAATAAACTTTGCTGATTTATTTCAAAATAATCAAAGGATCGCTGCATTAATTCCTATATTGAACAGAGAGAATAGCCCCGCTGGAACCATTCCAGTAAAACTTCCATAAAATTCCAGATGTTCTGAGAGTCACACAAGACAGGCTGGGTTACATCTTCTTGTACTAGAATGTGTGTCCATACAACGGAGACGTCCAAGAAGACTTTATTTAGAAAAAAAGGTAAAGTAAGTTATGATATTAAAATACGATGCTACTATCTCAGAAATCACTGATTTTCAGCAATTTTAACAACAAAAAGGACTCTAAACTCTGTAGAAAATCTACTGAGAAATATTTAGTTAGTACTCTATCCCTTTTCCCTTCACCACTACAGAAGACCTTACAAACTTTCCAGTCCCTAAATGGTTATCTTGCTTACGCTCATGTTTTTCACACCTGTTTAGCCCTTATTTTTCCCTCTTTTCCATATGAAGTCCTACGGGATCATAAAATAGTCGCCATATCACTCGTCTTTCTCCAGCAGCTCACTCCTTACTTGTTTTGTTTTGCCTTGTATTTGCTTTGCTTTATTATACTCTGGGTTTGTCAAGTCTTCTAGAAGGTCAGTGATGTTGTGAAACTCTAAAGTGTAAGAGAGAGAGCAAAAAGAGACGAGAAATATCTGAAGGAAAACAGAAACATCAAGAACAGTGTATTTTAGAAAATCAGGAATATTCCTGAGAATAGGCAAAACAGCAAAACAAATCTGGTATTTGTGCACTGGAAAAATGTAATATGAAAGAGGCAGAAAGAAGAAAACGTATTTTTCTTCTCTCAGACAAATAACTGTTCAATAGTTTCTTTAAAATGAGTCCTTTAGCAAGTAGCCTGTGCCTCAAGAACTAGAAATCACAGAGCCATTTCTGTAACGGGAAGTCACACTAGGGAGAATACCTGGCCACAAGCTGGTCCCCAGCAGAGAAGTCAGTACCGCACTGAAAAACCATATCATGGTGAGAAGGTCTTTCCAAAGGCAGCGGAACAAGTGGCTTCTGAGAAGGGAAAGGGCTGTTCCAGCTCTGTCCCAACTGCTGGTCCGTAAAGACTGTGATCTGCTCAGCAAGAGCCTCCACGGTGCTACTGCAGGAACCAAAGATCCGGAAAAAGGCCTGCGCTTCCTGGAGAAAAAAACGCACTTCCAAGATCTCCTGCCTCGGCTTCAGCAAGTGCTCGTGGCCCAGCAGCTCGGCCAGAGCGTGGAGCTCATAGAATTCCGCTTCTCTCTGCAGCCTCTGGAAGTCGGAAAAATCAGTGGGCAGAGAGACCTGAAGAGTCCTCAAGAAGTCCATGATGTAACTAAACAAATTCCCATCTCTGTCCACAAAAAACTCCCCGTTCACGAGTTTAAACTCACGGTCTTCGTTGCTCAACATCCGCGCTAACCTGGACTCGGGGAACTGCTGCAAAGTAGAAGGCCGGGTTACAAAGCGCAGCCCTCCCACGCTCAGAACCACCACGTCTCGACTGCTCATCGTCATCTCGACCCGTGAGCAACTACAGCACCCTGCTCTACGGGCTAGGACTCCGTCCCGCCTAAACTGCAAGGCATCTGCAGCTGCTCAGCGCTGTGTTTGAGGTGAGGTGAAGAGCAGCAATAGGACTCCCAGGCAACAAAGATGTAAATACCATGTACAATAGTTTTGTTTGCAGGGTTTGGTTGCTTGGAAACTTTGATTCTTGGAATTTGGTGTTTTATTTTTGAAATGAACAACTTCCAGGTCTACTGGGAGACACGTAATTGATCATCACACCTTATTAAACCTGCAGAGAGACAAAGAATATCCCCGAAGTGTGGCACAGTTGCTTCCTGGACTCACAAGATATTTTCATTCTATACATCGTTGTTCATAGGACCACTGTAAAAAAGAGGTTGATTGTAACTCAAGCCAAATATTTCAGTATCATACACTCTGCAGGTAGCTGAAGTTTACATTTCACTTTAACTCATTCTGTTATCCTGTGGGCAAGTCAACAGACTCAGAAAAGTCAACTCATTCCTGACACAAGTACATCAAATGGAGAGCTAAAAGAGACTACGGATGCTCCAAGGCTAAAGCACTTCCAAGCACCAACAATATCCATGTTCCCATGACACTGGGCGCTCTGTTCCCCCGTGGCTGGGGCTACAGTGCAAGCTGCCTTGCCTGGCTGAGCTGCTGTGTGCACAGCACCAAACCGCTCACACCGGGGCCTCTCTTTCAGAAGCAGCTTCCAAAAAAACATGGATCTAACAAGGCAGCTCAGATATTCTAATATTTTCATGCTGGAAAAGTAGGCAGCTCAGATATCCTAATATTTTCATGCTGGAAAAGTAAACTGCCAAGTATGTTCTTCTATTATTGCTCTTCTCTTATCAGTCTTTACTGATTTCTCTTCACCCCTACAATCAATTCAAGATGCTTGAATGCCTGAAAGTGTGTTTTTGCACAGCATGGATAAACAATAACCAACACCTACAGTGTCATGAGGACACGAGACAATTATATTTGGCTAAGGCTAAACAACAACAAAAAAAGTTCTGTTTCAGCGAGGAAGAGGTTCCAAAACACAAAGTAATACACACTGTATTTTGCAATGGACGGGCACTCTTAACAAGTCTCTCAACACACCAGCGCTCTTCTCCACCGTAACTGCCTTTCCTCCTTCCAAACCTCCCTGTTAGAAAAAAAACTATTTATGCATATGCTTTTTAAAAAGTAACACTTTTTATCAAAGGGTATACAGTATCTTATTCCACACATATGTTAACATTAGACTAACTACACAGTTTTGCCCTATATTTTTGTAAGTAAAATTATTTTCAATGAATAATGTTTCCATAATCACCACTGCAATAAAAATTCAGAAATTATATGTTTTTCAAAGCTCAATTTCACCTTTTGATTTAATCAATGCCTAAAACTATGTAAACAATAGGAATATTTTGGAAACATTTTGAATCGCTAAAATGTTTTCATTGGAATTAAAAATCAAAATACTAATTTTACAGAGTTTTATGTTTTCTTCACCAGATCTCTGTTACTTCTTACATTTCAGAAGGGACTTCACAACAATTTATATTTGCACACAAACTGTGCAACATTATCCAGTACCACTAACGTATAGGTTTTACACTTTTCTCTTAAAAGTGAAGCTCCATCTGCCATCTGTTCCCAGTAAAAGACTGCATGATCTGCTATTTCCACTGTATCTGCCAAATAGGACAAGCTAATTGTAAAGAATTGAGATTTCCAGCCCTGGAGATTGTCAACAACAGACTCCACAAAGGACGTTCTGGTGACAGCAAGGATAAGCAAGAAAATAAGAGAGGTCACTATAAACCTGGACGAAAAGACTGAGGGAATCTTGAGCTTAAGAGCACTGTTCTCCTGAGGCAAGGAAAGCTTGTCCACATCAACTAGTTTTATTCCATTCCACTGGCTGGTGTCAAAGTTCTTCATTGTAGGGCTGATGTCTACGTTGGAACAAGGTAAAGGAGTTTCTTTGAGCACCTTGATTTTTTCCCTGAATTCCTGCATCTGTTGCAGAAATATAATGGGTTCGGAAACATCCTTGAAGGCCTCGGCGATGTTAAAAGCCATTCGTTGCTCCTGCAGGATCGTGTTGAGTTTATTGATTTCCGGGTCGTAGGCCTGCATCACCGCCAGCTTCATGGTCTCAAAGTCGGAGAGAATCTCATTTCGTTTCTGCTCCAGCGTGTGCTGCAGCTTCTCGAAGAACTCCTTCACCTTGTCCGAGTCCTTGGTGAGCATCTGCAGGGCTTTCCTCTTGCTGGTTTCCAAGGTATCCAGGCGGGAGAGCGTGTCTCCGCAGCGCCACGTTTCGAAGCCCTGGAAGAGGGTTTCGAAGGCGCGCTTCTCCTGGGAATAGGCCTCCTCGATGGAGCAGAACGCGTGTTTCGTGTGGTCCCCGCGTGTGGCGCAGACCCCGCAGATGAGCTGCATGTCCGTCCGGCAGAAGATGTTAAGGGGCTGCCCGCTGTGCACTTTGCACACAGGCATTTTAGGAGTCACTTTGATTTTGTTGTATTTCTCCACAATACCCTTCAGGGAATAATTGACTTGCAAGCTGTTGACTCCAGTAACAGGAGTTTCCTTCCTGCACGTGGGACACTTGAAAGGGGATGGTCTCCAAAGGACATTCCGCACATTTCCCTCAAGTATTCCTTCCAGACACTTCCTGCAGAAATTGTGCGAGCAGGGCAGGACTCGGGGATCATCAAACAGGCTGCAGCAAATGGGACAGGTGAGATCTTCCTCCAGGAGCTCCATTATATCCTGGAAAAGAGAATAAAGAGAAGAGCACAACTTTAAAAATAGGATCCGCCTTCTTCCTCCAACATCTTTAAGACAAAGCCTCAGCTGGGATCATGCACCCAGCCCGACGTGGGAACCTCACGAAGGGGTGACATCACTTTTGGCCACCTAATGGCAGGCACAAGGACAGCTCTGCGTCCAGGTACAACCATTTGCTGACAACCAAGTGCTGCTGGAAAAGGCCGGCCAAGTCCAGCACGGACTCGCTGCATCAAATGCAAATACTGCGTGTACCAGCAAATGCAAATACTGCGTGTACCAGTAATTCAAGACTTCTTCACTGGCACAAGGCGGGATTTTCACCAAGGGTGCCAAGCTGACCTATCCTGCTGGGCTTTCATCCCTCTCTGCTTGCTCACCTCTTCCACACTTACTGCTTTAAACACCAAGCACTGCTACTTTAAGAAAGATGTGTTAAAAGGTGGCTGAAAAAAGCCAAGTGTCACAATTTCCTCAGCTACAGAATAGGTGAGGTGGCTTTGATTTTTCCATTTGCAAAGACAAAGCTGAGTAACCATTTGCTTAAAAATCTTTTTTCCTCTTGTTCCCACAGTATTTGTAAACAACCAAGCAACTGAATTACTTTGAGCAGTTCAGTGCAAAGTTAAAATACACTATATATAAAAATATATAAATCATATATCACCAAAATAAATAAATAAATAAAAAGCATCCAAATAGCCCTGTAAGAGCAAAGCAGAGAAACAAGCTCTTCTAAATAGTTTTGATACGACTACTAAGGTTCCAGCTCCCTCTTCACTAGGGACAAGTAGGTGAGTATATGTCTGTTTGAGCAAACAGAATTTTAAAAAGTTGCCAGCTTTACTGCTTAGCCACAGACTAAAGTTTAGTTCCCTATCTTTCAGTATTTGGAAATTCCCAGTACAAAAACTATTTGCTCTGCTCTACCTCCTTCACCAGGGAGGATTTTTTTTTTTAATTAGGGAGCAGGAAAACAGGCTTGGCATATCTGAGTACTGCAAACCACTCCAGAAAATGCTTACTACAATTTAATTGAGAATGCACGCCAAACAGTGAAACTTTCACGCTTTTAAAAGCACAAAAATACGCATGAAAAAGTTTCATGATCCAAACAAAACTTCCCTGGTGTATTCCAATCCCATTTATCCAATTAAATAATTACGCTCTGTAAATGCAACTGAATTCAGAATTTAAAGAACATTATATGACCTCATTAAAAGCTAAAGATTAAAAAATAAATAAATGGGGAAGTCTATGAGCATATTTGCTTTTCCTCCTGCAACAATGCCGGGAACACTAAACCAAGAATACTAAAACCTTGCATGACTGGTTGGAACAGCTGACTCAGCTTGGCAACTCAATGTTATTTTTCAACTTCCACCCTCCTTGTCTTCCTTAAAACACTAATTTCAAAGAATACAGTTTTTGTCTGTTAGAACACCCATTTTGTTAGCAACCTGACAATCATATGGGTGACTATAGCTCAGACTGCAACATCTCAGCTCCTCCACCGAGCAGTTCTATAGGCAGCTTCTCACATGGGCACGGGTGGCCCTAGGACCTGTCACCCAGACAGACACAGCGGCTGCGAGGTCTTCCTTCCCTGGAGCCACAGGAGCCCCTGGGGCTGCAAACCCCCAAAGTCAATTTTCACAGTTTCATCATTCAGAAGATGCAACTCCACCCATAAATGCAAAAAAAAAGAGCTCCATAGCTTAATTCCACACTCCAAATGCTGCCTGAGAGACAATTTCATTGAGGATGTTTCTCAACACAGAAGTTGGGTTTATCAGCTAGCTAGCAGCAGGCAGAAGGCAAATCGAAACTTCACCAAGCTGATCACAGCATATGAATTTCTTCAAACAAAACAAACAAAAAAAAGATGTCTCGCACTGAATAACAAGTCTCCTGCAATGACAAGGAAGTATTCTAAATAAAACCCAACAGAGACACGGCGTTTCCACAAGCAGTCGAGCTCCTCAGGAGCAGCACTCTCCCCCTTGCTCTGCAAGGGCCCTGCTCCTTGCTCAGGACCACCTAGGAGCCACTTTGCTAGTACCTTTCCAATTAGCGCGCTGAATCAGCTCAGAGAGGGGTCCTCAAGACAAGGGCAGGAGGAAGACGGCAGCTCCGCCTTTTGGCAGCACCAATGTTGTGATTCTGCTCGCAGGAACCGCAACCCGTGCGGGTTTCGACGGGGCCGTTTCACGGCCGCGCGGGTGGCCGCCGGGTGCACTAGGTGTTCCCACAGCCAGCAGCGCTGGAGAGGGCGGCCATGCTCTACATCAGCTACTCCACGGCCAACGTCTCGATTCCCGAAAGCACCGTGCGGATGCAACGCGGCCAGCTGTTAGTAAGCAAAAAAGGCCTTGAAAAAAAAAAAAAATAAAAAACAAAAAAAACAAGCAGTTAGAGTTAAGCGTGCTGGCCGCAAGGAAAACACCGTGTCACGAGCGGGGCCCTGCCAGCCCACCCGGCGCCAGGGCAGCAACCCAAGTGGCAACTCGGCAGCTGCTCCTTTGTCCCTTGTACCTGCTGGGTACCCAGAGACAAAGTCCTTGCTGGGTGCTCAAGGCCAAAGTACCCAGAGATGGCTCTGGAAACATCTGCAGGAACCCACACCCCAGGAGAAGGACTCT